GCTCTGCGTACTTGCGCTTCCTGACTCTCCTCGCCACCGCCTCGATCCCTCCCCCCGCTGCCTCTCCGATCCTTCTCCATGCAGCTTCTGCCATGCTGCGTATGCCTCGGCATAACGACTGGTTGCCGGCCCCTGCCCGCTGCTGTCCAGGCGTCCTGTCTGACCATGTCCATGCAGCAGCCCCCTCATCCCCCTCGGCTCCGGCTCTTCCTACAGCTACCGCAAGCTCGGCGAACCTCGGGCGGTCCTCCTCCCTCGTCGCCCAGCAGCTCTCCAGCAGGGCCCACAACCCGTCCGGGCATCCTCCGAGGAGGTGCTCTCGAGGCAGCCTCCCACCCCCGCACACGTACCCGATCACAGTCGGGTCCGTCATGGGGTAGTAGGGGGTCATGCCCGAGGTCAGGATCTCCCAGCACGTGACCCCGTAGGCCCACACGTCGCTCTTCTCCGAGCACCGGCCTCTCTGCATGGACTCTGGGGGCATGTACCGCACCGGCAGCGCTCGCCCCGCTACTCTCTCGTCACTCCCGTCCACCAGCTCCCCTGCCCGCCCGTACCCCGCCACCTTCACCGACGTCCTCCTCACGTCCTTCTTGTCGAAGCCCATGACCAGCACGTGCCGAGCCGCGAGGTCCCGGTGCACGACCCGCTGCTCAGCCAGGTGCTCCATGCCCTGCGCGATCTGCTCCATCATCGCCGTCTGGTGCCCTCGCGTCACCTGCCCCGCCAGCCTCCCCAGCAGAGCCTCCCTCAGCGACCCCAGCTCGGCGAGCTCGGTCAGCAGCAGGGGACAGCCGTCGGCGTCGTGGCTCTGCCCCATGTAGCGTACAAGCCGAGGATGCGGCCCGAGTCTGAGCATGACCGCGGCTTGTCTGCCGCCGTCGTCTTGCGTGAGCTTGAGCACGGCTACCTTGATCTTGCCGGGCCCTGCTCTCCTTCCTTGCACGCGGAGGTGACCTATGTAGAGGGTCTGGGAGGAGCCTGCTGAGATAGGCTGCCGCTCCATCTCCACGTCGTGCCTGGGGACGAGCAGCGCGTGTCGCTCCTGCCACTCCTGGATGGCGCTGCGGAGAGCGAGGTTGGGTACAAGGTGGTTGGAGGGGAGGAGGGCGCCGGTGAGGGGGCTGGAGAGACGATGGCGGAGCCAGGTCTCGATGGAGGATCTCTCGTAGGTGTGGCCATCGCAGCAGGTGACAGGGTCGGTCATGAGCGCCATGCTGATGGGGCAGATGAAGGACGGGAGCGCTCCCTGGTCCGCTGCCATGGCGGGGCCGAGGAGCGAGGGGAGGGGATAAGGGGGGTGCGTGCATCGAGGGAGCGAGGGGGTGCGAGGCCGGTCTAGGGAGGGGTAGGGGGTGGTACGAGGAGGGGAGAGGAGGGAGGAGGGGTGGTCCAAAAAAGAAAAGCTAATCCTACCAGCGGCTACGGGGGGAGTGTAAAACTAAAAAGAAGAAGAAGAAGTCTTGTTGCTGCCTTTTGTGTGCGATGGTATCTTGCGGGTATGTCTTGTTGCTGCCTTTTGTGCATTTGGTACTGATGGTCTGAGGCGGGTGGCTTTCTACAAGGGAGAGGACCAAGGGGATCTAAGGATAGGTTGCAATCATTTCAAGATATCTGATCAAGAAATGACAAGGTTGTCTTATGCGCAAGAAACGGCAATGAATCCTTTGATTGTGAAGTTCAACAGGATCAATCTTGAGAACTCTTGCTTGAGTGATGTCAAGGACATCATCTTTGATAGGTACATGGAGTTATGCAAGACAGAGATCGAGGAATTCAACCGTGCCAACTTTATGTGCCAGATGTGCTGCTCTTGGACACCTTCTGAAGAGCAGAATAGATTGTCTGCCTGCAAGACCTGCACAGATAATTATTTTGTATGGAGGTGCTCTACATGTGATGATGTGTTTGAGCACCTCCACGCAAGAGAAACCATAGCATATCGCGATGGACGCTGGATAGAGGAGCGACACTGCAAGAGATGTTGTGAAGAGGAGCTCGAGTTC